GCTCCCAAGGGGATCTCCTAGGTCCTTGACAGTACTTGGGGACAAGAAGGGCAGATCAAGGTGGGGACGAAAGCAGGGAGGGATACGAGGGCTCCTGGAAAGGTGTCATCATATAGAGTGGGGGCAGGTGGGGCTTGTTTTCCACCAGTTTTAGTGGCACCTCCTCCATCCATCTCAATTATGAAAATTTTCCATCCTGAACTGCTCTGCCAGGCTTATGATAAGACTGGTGTGTGTGTGTACGTGTGTGTGTGTGTGTGTGTGTGTGTTTGTATGTTTCTTCTTTCTGCATTGGAAAAACTCAGATATTCCAGACAGATTTGTCAGCAATTTTTTTCCCTCAGCCAGAGGGAAAGCTCCAAGCCATAGCCACTTGCATTCCAGCACTAAGCCAACTTGGCCCACTGTGGTGGTAGGAAGTCGTGGACTGGGTTACAACAGACCAGCGAGAGCAGGGTGGCCTGGGTGACCTCACAGGCTCTCCCTGCCCCATCCCGGCCCCCACCTGTCTCCTCCTCTGTGCTCTGTGTCTCCCTGTCTTGCCTCTCCTTTCTGCTCCCTCTCCCCGTGCCCTGCTCATCCTCTCTCCCTCTCCCTCTCCATCCGTCTTCATCTCCCCCTCCCTCTCTCCTTTCTCACTCCCACCTCTTATCTCACCCCTCCTCCTCTGTCTCTGGTGAAGGATGAAGAGAAGGGCACCACACTGCTCCAGCGGCAGTCATTCTGAGCTCCCAAGGAACAGAAACTGAAGCTATTTCAGGTCAGCCTGGCTCATTCCTTAACACTTCCCATCGGGGTTGCCTGATTAAGGATCCTTTGTGAGATGGGGGAAAAGAAGCCAGAACTCCACCCTTTAAAAAATCATCGAAGCATGGTTGGGCCTGGTGACTCACACCTGTCACCCCAGCACTTTGGGAGGCCGAGGCGGGCAGATCACTTGAGGTCAGAAGTCTGAGACTAGCTTGGCCAAACATGGCGAAAACCCCATCTCTACTAAAAATACAAAAATTAGCCAGGCATGGTAGTGGGCACCTGTAGACCCAGCTACTAGGGAGGTTGAGTCAGGAGAATGGCTGGAACCTGGGAGGTGGTTGCAGTGAGCCGAGATTGCACCACTGCACTCCAGCCTGGGGGATAGAGTGACATTCTGTCTCAAATAAATAAATAAATAAATAAATAATAAATAAATAAATAAATAAATAAAACAGGCTGAGCGCGGTGGCTCACACCTGTAATCCCAGCACTTTCGGAGGCTGAGGCGCGCTGATCACGAGATCGGGAGATTGAAACCATCCTGGCCAACGCGATGAAACCCTGTCTCTACTAAAAATACAAAAATTAGCTGGGTGTGGTGGCACGTGCCTGTAATACCAGCTACTTGGGAGGCTGAGGCAGGAGAATTACTTAAACTAGGAAGTTGGAGTTTGCAGTGAGCCAAGATTGCGCCACTGCACTCCAGCTGGGTGACAGAGCAAGACTCTGTCCTAAATAAATATGTAAACATAAATTTTAAAAAATCAGCGAAGCAGTTTGGAAGTGAACCCAAAATGACCAGTTGCAGCAGTCCTTTGAGGATAGTGAAGCAAAGCGGCTCCGTGAAAGCAAACTGTGGTTCCAGTAGGAGGGTGGCCTAGCCATGGCTGAGATCCATCCTGTCCTTAGACTGGCTGCCCTGGCCTCAGCTCTCAGGGTGGGTATGGGGTGGGGTGCCTGGTCCAGTGTACCATGCACTGCTAATTGGCCTCTGTTGGACCATTCACATGCCCTCTGCGGGATCTTTGTAAACTCTGCCTCAGCTTTCTCAAACCTGAGCTGGTGTGAGAATTACCAGGGAAGCTCATCAATAATACAGATTCCTGGGCCACACCCTTACCGATTGGATTCAGGAGCTGAGTGGGGTCCCAAAATATGTGTTTTGAAACCAGGACAGCAGTCTCAAGAGAGGAAACTGTGTGGATTCTGGGAGAGAAATAGAGATGTGGCCCTGCAGTACCATGCCCTCCAGAGCTGACTGTACTTCCAGCCTGGGTACCTGGGACAGGCCCTCTCATCCTTCCAGTTAGGCCCCCTTTTAGCTTGGGTCAGCCTGTTTTAAGAGTCTGCTAGCCATGAATCTGAATGCCACATGGAATCTTCCCAGATATCTGTGACCGATCTGAGCCCCCGACTCAGTCCATCTGAGACAAGACCTTCTGTTTCCTCTACCTACCCTGTGCAGGGGCTCATAGCTGAATGAGGTGGGGAGGGGATGAGGAAGGTGAGCAGAGTATGCAGAAAACTATTGTGTTAATAATATTGTGTTTTGGGCCGGTGCAGTGGCTCACGCCTGTAATCCTAGCCCTTTGGGAGGCCGAGATGGGTGGATCACCTGAGATCGGGAGTTTGAGACCAGCCTGACCAACATAGAGAAACCCCGTCTCTACCAAAAATACAAAATTAGCTGGGCATGGTGGCACACTCCTGTAATCCCAGCCACTCAGGAGGCTGAGGCAGGAGAATAGATTGAACCTGGGAGGCGGAGGTTGCGGTGAGCTGAGATCGCGCCATTGCACTCCAGCCTGGCAACAACAGCGAAACTCCGTCTCAAAAAATAATCATATTAATAACATTGTGTTTTAGGCACTTTATGCACATAGCTAATCTATTCCTACCCATAACTTTCCACTCACCGCACGGGCACCAGAGAGTAGTATCTTTAAAATACCAGTTGGACTGGACCTAAAACCTGTCTGTGGTCTCTGGGGTAAAGCCCAAGTTCCTCAGTGTGGCCTGCAAGGACCTTTTGGACTGGCTCCTCCCTTTCCACAATACCAGCTTCCAACTTTAACCTACTCTGCAGTCATACAGAAATACTTGTAGCTCTTCCCATGCCTGTGCTGCTGCTGCTCCCACGGCCAGGAGTGCCTCCCACGCCTTCTTTGCTAGGTATCACCTGTTCACCTGCTAAGACTCCTCTTTGGAGTCACCTGCTCTCAAAGTCATTCCCTGACACTTAGGAGGGTTCCCAGCCTGACCTAAGCACCCTCCCTTGTGAAGATGGTGACTCAGGACCACACTGGAGATTTGCATTCCTAGCGCAGCACCTCCTCTGTGATGGGAAGCTATCTGTGGCATGCCTGTCTTCCCCCACAGAGGTGAGCTCCCTATGAGCCAGAAAGGTGGCTTAGTCACCTCTGTAGTTCCAGCATCCCCTGGGCCTGGTGCATTGTGAGGGCTTAGTTCTCGTCTGGTGAACTGAATGGGCTCTTTTCATTTTAAGTGTTATGTTAGGAATCACTGCAGAGAATGGAGAGGTACATTAAAGAGGTCTTCAGACACCTGAGGATCTTTTGGGTTGTTCTGGGTCTTGGTCCAGTTCCTCGTTTTCTACTGAGATGGAATCAGCAGCTCTGCAGAACCTCAGATCCGGGGAGGCACTGATGTCAGCAGCTCTGCCTGGCATAGAAACGAACTGAAGCTGCTGGGCGTGGTGGCTCATGCCTGTAATCCTAACACTTTGGGAGGCCAAGGAAGGAGGGTTGCTTGAGCTCAAGAGTTCAAGATCAGCTTGTGCAACATAGTGAGACCTCATCTCTACAAAAAATATAAAATTAGCTGGGTGTGGCGGTGCACGCCTGTAGTCCCAGCTACTTGGGAGGCTGAGGCAGGAGGATTGCTTGGTCCTACAGTGAGTAGTAGTGGTGATCGCTTGATCACTACAGTGAGTCAAGGTTGTAGTGAGCCAAGATTGTACCATTCCACTGCAATCTAGGCAACAGAGCAAAACCCTGCCCAAAAAAAAAGACAAACAAACTGAACTGAAGCCTTTGAGTGAGTGTCCACCACATCTCACGGGCTTTGCTCATGAGATCATAGAGCCTGGATCATATCATCTCCCAAAAATCTGCATTTGGCGTTCAGGGATCCCCTGGCTCTTCACTGAGCTCCACCAAGCACATGGGGTCCAGAGCAGCTGCTGCTGCCAGGGAAAACCCATTGTGGGACTTCCCTGAAGGGTCACTCATGGGCTGGAAGTGTTGGCCAGAAATTCAGGCCAGGAGAGTGGGCGAGAGGTGGTCTAGTACCCAGAAACATCGAGGCAGCAGCTGGTCTCTGAGGCCCCAGGACTTGAACCCCTGGGCTTAAGTGACTCCATGGGCTTGAGGCCCAAATAGCAAACACAAAGCCAGTTGGGCCTGATGCAAGGAAACAACCTCCAGCCACCTTCCCCCAGGCCTTTAGAATGCTGGTCTTTCCACAGAGAAGGAGCACAAAGGACAGCAGCCTCCAGGACTCACCCTTCCCCACTTCTGGTCCTGCCAGGTCAGTAGAGTGGCCTCAGGATGTGGGGGCTCCCATGAAGATGGGCAGGAAGGATCTCTGGGGTCATTTCCAGTCAAGCATAATGTGTCTTCATGCCTTAAAGCACGGTGGGGCTTCCCACTCATCTGTCTCTCCTACTGGGGCTACCTTACTGCGTTTCCCCTTCCCCTTCCTTCACCCACCCAGGTAGGTGGGTAGTCCAGCTCTGGTTTATGGGAAGGCTGGAGGTAAATTTGCAAGCAGTTTGCAAAAGTCAGAATGCCTTGCCCAGGCACCACTCTAGATTCTAGACAAAACGAAGGAATGCTTAAAATAACCCATACTACTATTCAAACCCACTATTTAGGACATAGCCTAGGTTTTGAACAGTGGTGGAGATGGGAAAAAAGCAGTAGCCACTTAGATGGTGGGTTTGAAGAAAAAAAAAAAGAATACCTTTCTCCCTAAGTTCCAGGCCCTTCGCATAGCTTTCCAAGTGATGGGGGGCAAGAGAACGCAAGGAATGGGAAGGCACCCCTTGGGTTCTTCCTTGAAATTAGGGCCCATTTAGGGGAAAGGCAGAAATCAGGACATGACAGATTCCCACTCCCATTTCCCAGCACTTCTCACAGATCCCCGCCCAGACCCGACTTGGTTGCCAAGCACACTCAGCTGAGAGCCTTCCCTGCCTCACAGACACAGCCCAGGGAGAGCCACCAGAAACAGAAATGAAGGCCACATTTATTCCACTTCTTGAAGGTGCAGGCCTTGGACCTGCCCAGACTCACAGGCCTGGCTGCATGTCCCAGGACCAGCCGGAGCCTCAGAGAGTGAGGGAGAGGCAAAGGGGCCCCAAGACACTGGCACTGGCCTTGGCTACCCATTTTCTTAACTTTAGGCTCAGTCAGACCAAGCATAGAAAGAACAGGAGGCTCTACATTGCCTGGGGCTGAGAGTGGTGGCCCTTAGAAATCACAGGGGAGCAGAGAGAGCTGGGTTCAACATGAAATGCTTGAAGAGGAAGGAAGACTGTGATGAGGTCGTTTGACCTAGTCCGCTGGGGAAACCCCAGGAGGCCTCCTCTCCTGTTGGCTAGGGAGTGAAGTCCTGTAAACCAGAGGGGGTGGGAGGGCATATGGAAGCCTCTTCTCCCCACGGCCCAGCCAGGGGCACGGAGGAGCAGTACCTGAGCCTGGAGAAGATGGAAAGGTCAGCCCAGGCAGTGGCTGCCACACTCTTTCCTGTGGGTCCCAACAGAGGTGGCCTGGTGCCCAGGCTCAGCTGTGCTGCTTCCCAAGGAGAAAGGCAGTGGAAGGTAATGCTGGCGACATCCCGGCCAGCAGCCAGGAGGGAGGTAGGCTGATGTGATGGGATGGGATCTTGCCCTGGGTTGGTCTCACGGTGCAGGAGAGCAGTGTTGGAATCATTCTAATGCTTCAGGATGCCTCACACGCCCCATGGAGCTCAGACATCAGGAGCTGCTGGGACTCTATTTAGCCTACAAGAAAAGGTACAGGCTAGCACTGCCCACCTGTTGGAGAGGCCTGCAGACCACACTCCAGGACCCAGCACAACTAGCTTTCAAGAACACTGAGCCATTCAAGTCCTCAGCTCTCCTCTTGTAGCAGCCTCACTCCCTGACAAGAACCTACTGGCTCTCACCTCTGACTATACGTTGGAATCACTTGGAAAGCTTATACAAATCCTAACCACAAGCTGCACCCAGAGTCTCTGGGGCAAGACCCAGGCGTCTGTACTTTTAAAAGATCCCCTGGTGATTCCAATGTGCAGCCAAGGTTTAGGAGGAGGAGAAAGGAGTTTAAACTGGTTCATTTGGCTCTTTGGCTACAGCTCTGAATAAGGAAGTGAAAATTCACTAAAATAAAGTTTTGAGCTATCTGCAAATAGATCACATAACACAGCAAGAGCAATTTATGTTGTCACTAAAATTAGAACTTCCTGACCAAGAGGGCTGTTTTGGAAAATCCTTCCAAGAAGCTGTCAAATGTCCTCTTTGTGGGTGTTTAAGAGGACGAGTTCTCTTGCTGGAACAGGACAGGGAGGAGATTCCTCCCTTACCCAAGGACCCCCTGAAACTCTGGGGACAAACCACAAGCTCTGCTCCTGGTTTCCCTACCTCCTGGCCCCAATTCTAGTGTCAGACTGGAGTGGCCTCTGGGGAAGAAGGCCAAATGTCCCAAAGGACATTTAGTGAGCCCTTCCCTCCACAGCCCCTACCCCCAAGCACCTCGCATATCTCGTTTTATTTAATCCCTATGTCAAGAGCATGAGGTAGAAATTATTACTCCTGTCTCACAGGGGAGGGGAGTGAAGCACAAAGCTGAACACACCTCCCAGGATCACGCAGTTGGTGAGAAGCAGGGTCAGGATTGAAATCCTGTAGGAAACTCTGCTGACTCTACCCTGCCGTTGGTTCCCAGACAGGAAAATGACAGACATGAGGATGACAGGCAGGAGTGGGAGATGCGTGCATGTGTGTACATGTATATAAACAGGGCTGCTGGCCTTCAGGGCAAGCAAGGACCATCCTTTATCCTGAGGTTATCTCTCTTTGGTGATAACATGTGTTTTATAAAGTGGGGTTACTCGATGGCAGGGCTTTTTTTTTTTCACTTCAAATGTGCTTACTTGGTTACGTGAGCAGCTGGTAACTCTGTTGGTCTTGAGTTTTCTTTTAGAACTTTTACTGGTACGTAGCCAGGCGCGGTGGCTCATGTCTGTAATCCCAGCACTTTGGGAGGTTGAGGCAGGCGGATCACCTGAGGCCAGGAGTTTGAGACCAGCCTGGCCAACAAACCCCATCTCTACTAAAAATATAAAAATTAGCTGGATGTGGTGGTGGGCGCCTGTAATCCCAGCTAATTGGGAGGCTGAGGCATGAGAATTGCTTGAACCCAGGAGATGGAGGTTGCAGTGAGCCGACACAGTACCACTGCACTCCAGCCTGGGTGACAAAGTGAGACTCCCTCTCAAAAAAAAAAAAAAAAAAAGAAAAGAAAAAGAACTTTTACTGGTACACAAAATCTGAATCTCAAATTGGAGCCCTGCTGCGTTCCCACACCAACCTCTCATGACCCCTCAGTGCTCCGAGGAGGGGAGTTGAATCAGGAGATGATCCTGCAGCCCCGGGCTGGCCCATGAGCATTGGCAGGAGGGACAGGAGCCCCACAAGGCCAAAGAAACACCAGCCTTGGACATCGTACCCAAGCTGTGTGTGCTGTGGCTTCCTGGGGTAGCACATGGGGATAAAAACAGCACCTATCCTGAGGATGGCTGTGATTGAAGGAGGTGGTCTGGGGCAGCTTGGGCACAGAGTACACATGGAGTGCAGAGCTGGACACAGGCGCAAACCGCATGCCTCCAGGCCCCCACCTCCCTGACGGCATGGGGGTTCACATTTTAAAGGCTATAATTGAATCCTACACCTCCTGAGGATGTCAACTCATTTGTGGAAAACGCCTAATCTTCAACAGGGCTGCTTGGAAAATGGACACGTGTCATCAAACCTGCATGGGCAGGCTTGGGGACTCTTTGCCGCCCCCAGGCAAGGGTAGCTTGAAGACCCAGCCCTGACCCACACAAGGTGAAAGCTCCTTACCGTTCAATGATGCGGTTGTTATCCAGGAGGTCAGACGCCAGCAACTTCATCCCCTCGCAGAGCTCTTGCATGCTGCCCAAGGCAGAGGCAGGAGAAGTGGCTGAGGCTGGAAGTTGCCCTGCCCAGACCCCTTTCCTGGGAGGCCCACCCTCCTCTGCAGCCCCACCAAAGAAGCCTCTTTATTCTTCTTTGTTTGCTTATTTGAGGCGGAGTCTTGCTCCCTTGCCCACGCTGGAGTGCAGTGGCACTATCTTGGCTCACTGCAACCTCTGCCTCCCGGATTCAAGGAATTCTTGTGCCTCAGCCTCCGGAGTAGCTGAGATTACAGGTGCATGCCACCACATCCAGCTAAATTTTGTATTTTTACTAGAATTGGGGTTTCACCATGTTTGCCAGGTTGGTCTTGAACTTCTGGCCTCAAGTTGATCCACCCACCTTGGCCTCCCAGAGTGCTGGGATTACAGGCGTGAGCCACTGCACCCAGCCAGTCTCTTTAATCTTGCCTCCTAGGCCTGGCATGAGGCCAAACCCCTCAAGGTCTAACCTCAGCACGCTTCCCACAACTCCCTTCCACACAGATACACACCCCCTTTCTCCCCAGCACTTACTGGAGAAGCAGGTCCTTTGGTGTAGGGCTGGGGTAAGGAGCTATGGGAGGCGGGGAGGCCTGAGCCCCCTTTGCTCGGTCCTGAAGGAGCTGGTGAGATAGCTCTTCCAGGATCTGCAGGGAAGCCATACTTTGGTCAGCACTTAGTAGCCAGCTTATGTGTGGCTGGGTAAGGGCAGTTTGAGGAGGTGAAGACATGGGTAACAAGAGCCCCAGCCTGCATCCCCAGAGTACCTAGAATTCCTCTGCCATGCCCACCTTGCTGAGACTCTCCTGGACCCCCTGGGCTTCTGTGTTACAGGCGGCCACAGAACAGCCGACCAGGCGCAGGTGGTTCCTGGTCTCGTGCACCACCCTCAAGAGAACAGACAGAGACTTAGAATTAGAGCAGGACTCAGCCCACTCACCAGGGCTCGCCTAGCTGCCATCGGGTCTGCACATGGACACAGGTGGGTCCTGGGTATTTGCATCCCTCGCTGCCTCTGCCCTGCCAGCTGTGCCCTCCACGCTTGTCCGCCCCCACTGCAATAATGCAGATGCACACAGCTGGCTGAGGCTGGGAGGGCCCCTTCAGAGCCGCAGTGGGGAGCACCAACAACATGCGTGTGACTGGGGCTGGGTGACACATGCCAGCTATGGTGAGTGTGGCACCAGTCAGGCTGCAGAGAGGCAGAGGATAGCCCACACTAGGGCTGTCGGTGTGGGGAACTGCCCACACTCTGATTTCCAGAGTGAATTCTCTTCTGCCTCTAAGTGGAGAGAAGGAGCAGGAACATTTTCCCCAAGGCCCAGAGCCGTGAAATCAGGGGTTGGTGCTCAGCCCTGGCCACACATTAGAATCACCTGGAGAAGCTGTACTACACTGATATCCAAGCCCTGCTCCAGAGCAATTACACCAGAATGTGTGGTGGGTTGGAGTAGGAGAAGCAGGCATTGGTATTCTGATATGAGGACAGGTGAGTGCCCAGGTCTCAGCCCCATAACAAGGTGAGGTCCTACAGGCCTCAGAACGTGGCAGCACGTGGGAAATTATCCTCTCTTCTCCGGAGGGGCCAACTTTCACACAGGCAGGGGAATGGAGAGTGGGCCTGATCTGAGAAGGTGGAACCCAAAACTCCTGAAGGGGACGGCGTGACAGAGGATTCTCCTTAAGGGCCACTGCCACTGTCCTTATCCCAGGGGGATCTAGTGTTCTCCTAAAGGAGATTTCTCAATACAACCAGGTGGAACGGTAGAAAGAATCCAGATTTGATTTGATTTTACCCTCAAAAGCCC